AGAGCGGAGCGGAGTGGAAGCTCTCCATCCCTGCCCCGGGGACTTGTGCGGGGTCCTGGAGGATGATACTTTTTGGTCCAGCCTTCACCTGCTCATGTCCAGGGCTGGTTCTGGCACACAGGGAGGCTCTAGTCTAGCATCAGGCCATGTCTTGGACTTCGCTCTGCACACACATGGCCAGGCAGAGGATGGTGCTGGGATCCAGGGCTGGGGGTCCAGCTGCAGCCCCCTGGGCTGTCTAGGGTTTGGTGGCCGGTCTCTGACTCCCCTGATTCTGTCACTGATCCACAGAACGTCAGTGCCCGGCTTAACTTTGTCCCAGAGCTTCATTGATTCTCCAAGTAGGATGAGGCCAAAAGCTGTCCCTCTGCTGGGGTGTTGACCTTGCAGCCCAATCCCGGGCCCGGGCCCCGTGCCAAGGGCAGGGAGTGCTGTGGCTGGTTTCTCTTTGACCTGTGGCCGCTGCAGGTCAGCCCCCTCCTGGCCTCCCAGGAGCCAGGCTTTTTCCAGACTAGTTTTCCACATATCCGACCCCAGCCTAGAAAAGCAGGGTCTGGCCACCTGCCTGTTCTTGACCCCACCCCCGACACATGCAAACCTCTCACTTCCCCACACCCCTTCCCATTCATAAAGTGACCATGGGACCAGCAGCTGGCATAATGGCTATGCCGCTGGACTCCCAATTAGTCAACCGCAATTCAAGTCCCGGACCCGGTGGCTTAAACTCAGGCCAGGCGCGTGTGTGTGCGTGCCCAAGATCCCGAGAGAATGGAGGAGAAGGGATTGCGGCGTGACCATCCCCTCTGGGGGTGATTTCTCGCTTTCTCTCTCTCTGTCTCTCTCTGTCTGTCTGGTGAGCACGTGCACCCTATAGCAAAAAAACCTCTCCAAAAAATAAGTGGCCAGACTGCCCGAGCTCAACTTAACCTGATTTCAGAAACCCTATTAGAACAGGACTTCCTGGGACCAGCAGATGGCGTGATGGTTAAGGGCACTGGACTCCCACATGGCCGATCATGGTTCCAGTCCCAGACCTGGTGGCTTGCTTTCTCACTTTCTCTCTCTGTCTCTCTCTCTCTCTCTCTGTGTCTCCCTCTGGTCAAATTAAAATATATAATAAAGTAATTTTTTTTGAGAGGTTTTCGCTATAGGACGCGTGTGCTCGCCAGACAGACAGAGAGAGACAGAGAGAGAGAAAGCGAGAAATCACCCCCAGAGGGGATGGTCACGCCGCAATCCCTTCTCCTCCATTCTCCTCTCGGGAACTTGGGCACGCACGCACATGTGCCTGGCGTGATTTTTAAGCCCCCGGGTCCAGGACACAAACCACGGTTGACTACATGGGAGTCCAGTGACATAGCCATTACGCTAACTGCTGGTTCCCAATATTAAAATAATTCTAAAAAAAAAAAAAAAGTCAGGATTTCCTAAAGTCACCTGAACGTGAGCATAACCTGGAATGCATGTTAAGCATGGAGTCATCTGGGCCCACCTCAGACCTGCCAGGTTGGGGCATAGAAGTCTGCATGCTTAACGGCTCATAGTTCAGATGAGGCCAGCTGGAACCCACTTGACCAACATAAACCCAGTGTTTTGTTCTAAGGGGGACAAGACTTCAGTGTGAATTTACAATGGCCCAAGGTCTGGTTTGAACCCGGCATCTTGAAACTCATGCCAGGAGCATATGCATGCATTCCCAAAATCCCAAGAGGAGAATGAAGGAGAAGGTATTGGGGCATGGTCATCCCCCGGGGGGGAGTTTCTCACTTTCTGTCTCTCTGTCTCTCTAGCAAACGCATGCTCCCTAAAGCAAAAATCTCTTTCTAAAAGAAAACAAAATAAAAACAAAAAAAGCCCACCTAACCCCGGTCAGAATGAATAAAATTTAAAAACAAAAAAATGGTAAGTGCTGGCAGCAGTGTGGTGAAAGGGGAACTCTCCTACACTGCTGGTGAGAATGTAAATTGGTTCAGCCACTGTGGAGAACAATATGGAGGTTCCTCAAAGATCTACAAATAGAACTCCCGTCTGAGCCAGCAGTCCCACTCCTGGGTCTCTACCCAAAGGACAGGAGAGCGCTCAGTTGGGAAAGTGCTCGCACATCTATCTTTAGTGTGTCACTCACGATTGCTAAGACATAGAACCAACTCAAATGTCCACGAACAGAAGAAGGGATTGAAAAAATGTGACACCATGACACCTACTAGAATCAACCCAGGAAGACCTTCTCCAAGTCACATCATAGCCAGACTGGTCAAATCTACAAAGACACTAAAATTGGCAAGAGAGAAACATCAGTTACTTATAAAGGATATCCCATCAGACTAGCCTCAGACCTCTCATCAGAAACAATGCGAGCAAGGAAAGAATGGGAAAATATTCAAAGTGTTAAGTGAAAAACAGTTTCAACCAAGAAAACTGTACCTGGCAAGATTACCTTTCATATGGAAAGAAAGGATAAAACATTCTCAGATAATCAAGACCTGAAAGAATTCGCCAGTACCAGACCCATTCTTCAAGAACTTCTGAAAGGAGGGCTCTACCAGGAAAACTAAAGACACACAGAAATAAGAGAACAAAAGGCAACCAAGAAAACGACCAGTTTAATGCTAGGGACAAGAAATACAGATAACAACATTGAATATTAACTTCCAGGATTGAAACAAAGATTGGACCACAGTAACACTGCGTATTCAACAGAAGAGAGTTCGAAACTAAGACTGAAATCGCAAACTAGAATTTTAAGACTTTTGAGTAAAACATTACTGATTTATTTTTTCACTATGCTTTGTTTTCCCAACTTTAACATTTTACTTTCTTTTGAGTTGTTGCTAAGTTCAGCAATTTGTTAAAATATTTTTCTTGTTTGTTTCTTTAAATGGAAGCATAAACTTCTCTTCCTTCCTGGAAAAAAAAAAAGAAAAAAGAAAAAGTGCGGCACATCCACTCTATAGAATACTACTCAGCCATAAAAACAGGACCTTGTGGGGCCGGCAGGTGACATCATGGTTGAGGTGCTGGACTCCCACATGGCAGACAATGGTTCGAGTCCTGGACTTGGTGGCCTGCTTTCTCATGTTCCCCTTCTCTCACACTCTGTTTGTTCAAATTAGAAAATAAATAATAATGACAAATAAATAAATAATTAAAAAACAAACAAGACCTTGTCTTTTGATAAAAAGTGGATGAATATGGAGGAATTAATGTGTGAAGCAGGCCAGGCTCTCTGCACTCCATGGCTGAAACTCAGAGATTAGAGGATATAGAAACCTGGAAAATGGCTATAGATGCTGGACACAGTGCGGGAAAGACATTAAGGAGAAAGAGAGGCAGACACTTACGGGACAGAGAA